TGCTCTAGTTTGAGACCTACATTTATTGTCAATGCCTGACTTCACCTGACCACCAAATCTACACAGTCTACACTGTATACTTGTTTACTTGGGACAAACACTGTAGAAATGTTCAGTACTTGGACCAAAGGAAGTCACTTTGTATTGTGACATCTATGTTTGATATATTACTATGAGAGCCAGTATTTAAGTTTCTGACACATTTACTGCTTACATTGCAGCGCCTAAAGTAGGAGGAAAGGCTAAAGAACATCATACCGTTGTTCTCTCTTTGCTGTTGTACTGTTTTCTTCTAAATCTACATCTAAAAACATTTTTCCAATTGTATTTCTATGTGATCACGTGACCGCAAAGCTCCTCCTGGTCGGTGTATCGCCACAGGCCAATAACTCTGCTGAATTCCAGAGTGCAGTGATGTCGCCTGCTAGCATCCTAGTCGGGCCATCAGGTGACCACATAGAAAAAAATTAGAAAACATTTATTTAGATGACAAGTTAGAGTGTCTTCAGGAAGCATAACAGCAAAGTGGATCAACATTCAGCAGGTATGTGGTTCCCTACCATTTGCTTCCACTTTAAAGCACTCGGCTTGAAAAGCAGACCTGCATTATTCTTTACAAGGCTTTGTTGATTCACTAATTCTGACAATACTCTATACAGCAAATATATAACTCTTGGTGATTTGTGTCTGCTTTGAGCCCTTTTTTGACCCATTATGTTTAAGCTCTGAAGAAGGGTGCAGTCTTTGAGCGCCTGAAACATGTTAGCTGTTTTGTGTTGTCATTTGTGAACCGATACTATTAAGATTTTGGACTCAGATTGGTGCTCTTACTACGCTTTATACATGTGAATATTTAATTCTGGACCCGTTGTCTGAGGGACACCCCATTTTTGTTGAGAGCAGACTCACCAGAGCCATTTTGCTTTATCACGCTCTGTCTCTAAAAAAGGAAAACTGGACAGCGGTGAGCAATAATTAATAGTTTTCTCTTCAGCAATTTTTATAACGAATACCAGTCTTTTTGCATTATTCAAGTTGAACTTCAAATTAAGCAAATATTTTTTAAATTAGGGATGTCCCAATACCATTTTTTCAAGACTAAGTACAAGTACTTTCCCTCAGGTACTTGCCAATACCTTGACATTTTTTTCTAAAACAATACAGACTAATGATTGTAGGGCAGTTTCTTTATAATTATGAAGAACTGTAACTCAATTCATGATTATTCAGCAATGGAGAATGGCAACCAGCAATAGAGGACGTCAAATCTCAGCCATAGTCTTTTCAGCAATGGACTAGGGCAACCAGCAATTCTAGATCGCTGGTATTTGTAGTCCTCTATAGCCTGTTGCCATTCTCTATTGCTGTATAATCATTGATTTATATAGCAATGGAGAATGGCAACCAGCAAGCTGCCTTTGGGTTTCACTAGTGCTGCATGTGGGGAGGTCTCATCAGGGCTGCATGCAGGGGGGGTCTCACAGGGCAACTGTGCAGATCTCACCAGTGCTGTGTTTGGGTCTCACTAGGGCAACGATGGTGGGTGTCGGGCTGAAAAGATAGGTGTCAGGCTTGTGACGGCTCCTAGGCTGTACAGGCAGGTGTTGTGCTGTGCCAGCGCTTGGAATTAGGAGGAGGCTATGTACAGCCAGACTGGCACTGTCAAACAGCTGCCTGAGGTCCCCAGCAAGTGCAGGAGCTCACAGTATACACCAAGCTCTCATCTTGTGCAGAAGAACTGATCTGGTCTCTGTCCCCTCCTGTAGTTTTCTGCAGGCAGCCTGTGGTGGGTGGACCTGCTGGGTCCTTCCACAGCTCTGCTTTCTGCACAAAAAAAGTGTTTTGTTCCCAGAGCTTGCTACTTATTCTCAGGCCTACATTCCCATTGGTTGATTACTATGATGGGTAGCCTCATTGGCCAGTAGAAGAAGACTGTAATGAGTGGGAAAAATTTGTCTTCAAGAAGTGCCAACACTCAGAAGAGGCAGACATTTAGCTGTGGTGGAAGTATTTGGGAAGCTGCTTCAGGTATGTGCAAGTACCTCCGAGATGCCTGCACTTTATACCTAGGTTAGTTTATACCTATACGGAAGTTTTTGTTAGGGATGCACTGATACTAGCCATTTTCACGAGTACCCATGAAAATGCCCCAATACTAAATGCCGATAGTGTTGCTTTAAATGTTTAAACTAAAGCGGCTGCCTGATGGAGACCTCAGCAGCCTTCCTGTGAACCATGGTACCTGTTTACAGGGCCAGCCACACATCTCCTCCTTATTGGGGAACCCCGCCGCCCGCAAGGCCCTCTGGCCCACTGGTGAGACCCTGCACAACCCACCTGAGACCATGGAGATATCAGGCCACCACCCCAGAGCAACACAGATTATGTAGCATCATAATATTCTGCATTGCTATATAATGTATTGCTTGGATTTGTAGTCCTCTATAGCTGGTGGTATTCTGCATTGCTGTATAATGTATTGCTGGGATTTGTAGTACCTCTACAGCTTGGTCAGTGGCTGAACTAGCAGGGTCGCAGTGGCTGCAGCGGCGACTGGGCCCTGGTGCTCCACCACTATCCTAAAATTATTAGTCTGCATTGTTTTAGAAAAACTGTGACACACACAAAAAAAAGGTATCATTTAATTGGTATCAGCAAGCACTTGCACTCGGTCTTGAAAAAATGTAATCGGTGTATCCCTAGCTTTTGTCTAATTTAAAACACATTTCTCTTTAAAGAAAGTCTATGGAAGTTTCTGAAATACACAAGGGAATGTATATCACTACATTCAAGGTTTGCTGCAGCTGACATTGTTTTTTATTCCTTAAAAAAGTCCTTTTGAGGTTCTATAAAAAAAATAAACATGTTTTGTAAGTATTTAGCCAGAGCTGGTAGCCACAATTGTAAAACAAATGTGCAAATGCCCAAACAGAAGAACATGACTAAACCCCTTTAAATTAAGTATTGGGAGAGCGAAAAATACTTTTCCCAATACTTACAGCTGGCATGTAAATTGGCTGCTGTCGCATGCCAGCTCTGTACACCAAGAGCTGAGTAAACATATAACTGTTGATGGCTCAGCTCATGGTCTCCTCCCTGCAGATATCAGTGACTGTCAGTTTCTGCTCCTCTCAGAGATTCCTTCCCACCCCTACCCCCCTCTCAGTTCCTCAAGCGCTCACTGGAGAGACGAACCAAGGAGGGGGTGAGCACAGCTGGAAAGGCAGAGCCAGCTGTCAAATAGGCAGCCATGTGGATCCTGACCATATAACTTCACATCTGTAGCGCAGCTCTGCGGTGTCAGCATACAGCGGGCAGTAGCCTGCTATATGCTGTCTTTGGGGCACAGGAGTACATTTACTAATACACTCCTGTGACCCAAAGGAAAAGTAAAGCCAAATGGTTTGGCTTTACTTTTTTAAACTGTTTAGATGCCTGAGCTGACTGTCATCCAGACTCTAAATACACATTCACACATTCTAAAAGTAACGAGGAAACTGGTGAATGTCCGGGGAGTGCAACTTAGAGCCTTTATGATCTTGCATAAACCAGGAAGATAGTGCAATTGTTCAGAGTTTTGCACCTGCCTGCTACTTCACAAGGGAAGATGCACCTGTAGGGAGTTGATGTCTAATTGGCATTAAAAAGGATCATTAGATGGCCTATCAAGAGATGGGGGGGGACACACAAAGCTGCTACCTTGCCTAGGACCCCATTAGGCTCTCTGGTTATAGTATAATATATTCTCATTAAAAATAAAAACTGAAAAAAATAATTTTCTAAAAATAAAAAAAATGTAATGAGCATTTATTAAATACATTTTGTCTCGGCTTTTATACCTGAGACACCAGAATAAAAGGTAAGGGGGTAATCATGATAGGAATTATACATATAAAGCCTCAGAAGTTCCAAATTTCCCATTCTGTTTTAAAAAACAACAACAAAGAAAAAACGTTTTAGCTGGAGCTATGTATTGTCTCCAGCTGCCAAATTGTCCCCTATACCCAACAAAAATGAGGCATGCCAAACTAAACAATACATCTTATAGGGAAAACAAACCATTGTTTTTCTTTGCTTTTTTGTTGCCAAACAACGTTGTGTAAATGGCAGGTGTAACATGGTTTTCGAATAGCCCTGCCATGAGTGACAGGTAAAGCCTTTAAGCTATGAAAGTTTTCTAACGCAGGTGTTACTCTTTAGAGTCCATGTCCTGCTACTAAGGAAGCGGTGTCACTGAAATTTAGTACTGTCATTTAGTGTAGTCCGGGTACGCTAAGGGTGCCCATACACTGCCAATTTCAGCCGGTTCTTCTTTGTGCCTCAGCAGATAAGCCAAATATACTAAACTGAACCAATTACGTTTCTGTTCCATTAGAGATGCAATATACACCACATTAGAATCATGTAGTACTGAATTTTGAGATTATAAGAACTTTAGAAATAATTGTTTGACACACTTTTTTTTCTAACTACAGTCACTCTATGATATTATAATAAAGTCTGGTATAATTTTCATTACAAATATTTACAGTATTTTGTTAAACATTGCTATTATAGAGCACATTTTCCTTTTTTTACATTTTTTTAATTAAATATTTGATTACACAAGTTGTACACTACTAAATGAGGAAATAATTTATTATGCCTTAACTCCGTTTATAATGCTCAGAAATCAAGCAATGGGAATTGTATTGACGACTAGTGCTGACAGCTTGTGAATACAATTTGCATTTGGTTTTCTCTATAACAATGGTTTGTGCCAAATGAAGCCCAGAATGTGCATAATGAACACTTCACACACACATACGACACACAAATGAGAGAATTTGGGAAATTATTCTTGTGGTCAGTTGTCTTCTTTGTTCTGTTTGTTAATGAGTTTACACTCACCTAGGGAGAAGGGATTGACACCAGGGTTTGAAGGTGAAAAAAGGCAACCAAATGTTTCTACCGTAGTGTTTGAAGGTAGTCTTGTGCTCATCATTTGTTTGTCTTTACAGGTGGGAGGGCAAGAATGAAAATGAAGTGGGCCGCTGCAATGAGACTGGAAAGATTCATGTGAAAGTTGATCTCAAGTACTACAGACCATGTGAAGTGGTAAGTAGGAATGTCCACATCTCCCCTACTGCTTGATAATTTAATCACTTGCACTGTCGCTGCCAGTGTTTGGCCAGCTGTCCAAGGTTTAAGTGACCCCCTGCTACCAGCTTCAGATGAGTCGAGCCGTGTGCAGTCTCACACATATGACCCTAGTAAAGCTAAAATAAAGCAATATTTTAGAGCTAGCAAAACACAAATATATTTTCCCCAGCATAGAAAAACGTAAGATGGCTACCACAATTCTTACCGTAACCTGATTTTATCAGCATGTACATATACAAGTAGAAATGAACAATGATCTTCAGTCCGTTTTAGTAATGTGACTACAATTTTTAGAATGTTTGTGTACATCAATACTGTCCCAACTTATATTTTAAAAGGCAAAGGGAATAGAAGAAACATGCCTAGTTTTTTTTTCTCAATTTCCAGTTATTTGTGAATCCACTAAATATACTATGATCTGTTTTAATACTTGCATTTGTTTTTAATGTATGTAATGACAAAGTCTTTGTATAATTTTTATGCTGTTTTTACTGGTTTTATGATAAACCTATATTGCACTTAAGTCACAACAGCAACTTGTAAAATAATGGTTTATGGGAAATCCCCAGAACTAGACCGTCTCAGACAAACATCAACATGTTCCCATGCTAATATCAGAAAAAACAAGCAATTTGCATAGATTTCTCATAAGACGTTCTTAATCCAATCATCCCACTGAGTTCTCTCATTTCGTAACATTTCAATGCATTTCTTGGCTGAGGTTAGTGTGATATCATCTATTTCAGTGACTGAGTTTAATCTAGCTTTACTATAACATTTTATAATCTATTTTGTGGTGTTGCCCATCCAGCAGACAAATAAGAAAGCGTGTTCCCTAAAATCTAATAGTTTATGATAAACTATAAATCTATTCAAAACTTTTTTTTATTTTTTGGATAGTGAGAAATGGCTAGATCCTCATTTTCATTGTAATTACAGTATTTGTGTCATTTGGAGGGATTTCACTATTACCTGTCCCAGTGAAGCCTAGGGTATTGTTTTGATGTGAACTCTGTTCTCCCTCTCTCTAGCTATATTTAGTTATTTCGCCATATAGTCCCTTGGAGGATCAATTAAAGGTTTGTGACAGCATCACTTGCTCCTAGTGGATTACACACATTCAGGAACACTTAAGTTGTATGATGGCTCTCTTGCAGAACTGTGTAACTGCAAATTTTGTCTTAAAATTTAGAGACAGAAGATCAGGCTTCTACTTCTGGAGGCATTTTGATCTGAGCTGCTTTAGTGTATAATCATTTCAGCTGCCCTGAAAAAAATGTTTTCACTATTCCTTGAGTGAATTGCAAGCAAATAGACAAAAAAAGGAACACTTTTTTAAATGATATTCAAAATGGCTTCAGTTTCAAAGAGACTAGGCCAAAATTATAGATCAATGATAGGGGTGCTGTGCGTAACGTTATTGTAAGTAGTGCTTGCTGTTAAGTAAATGTTGGGTTTGTTGGAGTAGATGAGAAGACACAATGAAACGAGGGAGTTCTTTGAGGATTCCATGATTGATTCCAACATCAGAGAATGGTTTGACCCCACCCCTGCTGAACAAACCAGGTCTGCAGGCCCTTCTATTGCGATTAATGGATTTAGTAAAGGAGGTTAAGACTCTGTTTAATGCCAAAAGAAATAAGAATGGATATATTTTACCCTCCAGGAAAGTTGAAAGTACTGGAAAGTTGGAAAACATAAATCAGAAGTAGAGTTCGTACTTCTAAGGTCACTGCTGGTTCTCTGTTGGTATTTATAACTCGCCCTTCCCCTGAAGCGATGCAAAAGTGACCACATGCTGAAAAATGCTTGCTTGAAATAATAATTCTGTTATTTCTGTCGAACATTTTAGAAAATCACCAGCATGTCAAGTAAATTGCAAATGGTATTAATTTACTGCTTTTGAAACTGTCTTCAACAACAAACAATATTCACAAATTGTACACAGACTCCTGCAGAGTTTAAAAGCAAAGTTCACCTTTTCAATAAAATGGACTACGCAGTCAAGGAGCTGCATAGTTTAAATACATGAAGTTTTGAAAAATATTGCTTAATGTAATTGCCATACCGGTAGGCCTTTTGAGGCACCCAAAGAGTTTGGCAAAATAACTCCCATTTTGTTAGCATTCCCCCTGCCCTGGCTAGTTGCTAGGGCACACCATATGTTGAGCAAGCCACTCATGCGCAGTGTGCCCTCTTCCCCTTTGTAGTAGCAACGCTGAGCTCAGCCTTCGCTAACCCTTTATAGTTTTGCTGACAGAATATCTTTTTTGTGCTCCCGGTTAAAAGGACTATTGTCACCACTTCATCACATAGTACATCATATAACTAGGGACCATTAATTATTTAATCACAAGAAAGTATATAACATGTCAGGGACAAGATGTGCAAATATAAAACTTGTGCTAACAAGGGGTAAATGCGAAAAGCCACTAACATCTATGCTATATAGCAATACATCTTTTCCTTTCGATCTGATGTTGTCCCTTTTAATGATATGAATTTGTGTTCACAGCTTGAAAAGCTTCGTCTACATATATGTATACATTTTTATAGATTCTGTGACAATAGTGAGCATATCTACTGGAACGGATAGTGTTCACTGACTCACTGGTAGTTTTTTCTTAATTTCTTATGTTTAAAAATAACAAAACTAGTGCCTAATTCTTTTTCACTGTAGTTTCTCCAGCTGTGGCTAAGTTCAAGCTGTGATGACACAAGGCAAGGTTAATAAAGATGTCCACACACAGACTTAATTGTTGTACCCTGATGAGCACAGACAAAATTGACTTTGTAATTTCATGGTGTATGTATATTGAAAATGTAATTGACTCTTCTGTGGAGAGGAATAGGAGTTACCCAGATAAATACTTCCTTCCATTGCAATCCAATCAGTACATTCCAAAACACAATGCAGACCGTTTTTTGGCTAGACCTATAACCGTGCCCCCTCAGTGTTGCTATCAACATTCTCTAATGCAAAAGATTGTTCCATAAACAGCAATGATTTGCTCTGTGGAAAAAAATTATAATTTGGTAAAATACACATATGGAAGATTTTTTTTTTTTTTAAACAATGCATACAGGTACAGAGAATGCATATTGCATGCAGTCTTTTATTTCAGGCTGAAAAAGATAGAAATACAAAAAATTGTGCAATGAGAAAATGGCAAAAAAATCCAGCAACACCAGTCGATTTTTCTGACAACTTCATCTTTTCAACAGTCTTTCTTTTATGATGTTTGTACATTGACATTGTACATTGACTTAAAATCATGCTTTTCTTCAGACCACTTCAAAAGTACCTAATCAATGCACAAACTGTTTTAAATGTCTTTATAAGCATGAATGACAACAGGGTCTTCAGTACATGTTGCATAAAATCAATACAAGTTGTTTCTTAAGGCACCATTCACACTTAAAGGAGAACTATGGGGTCAGTGTTTTTCCCCATAGTTCTCCTTGGGGTAACGGGAGGACACAAACTAGCGTCCTCCCGTTACCCTAAGCTTAGTATACCGCAAGCTACAGCTCGCGGTATACTGAGACTCCGCACCTGGAGCGGATCCCGACTTAGATGACGGGATCCGCCCAGCTGCGTGAGTGACAGCTGGCTCTGCCTATCTAGAGGCAGAGCCAGCTGTACCCTCCCCCGTCCGTTCCGCCAGTCAGCGCTGGCAGATCGGAGCGGGGAGAGGGGAATCCAGCCCCTCCCCCTGTCACGGCAGAGAGCCGTGACAGGATCGAGAGGTGAGGGAACCCGGTATGTGTTCTCTCACCTCCCGATCTACTGAGCCGACCTGTGACAGTCTCATTGTCACAGGTCGGCTTAGAACTATGAGGTGAGTGGAAATCACTCATGTCATAGTTCTCCTTTAATCATTCTGTTATGGTGGGTAATGCACACACGTTAACATGTGTTGTGTTCAGGTAGCCAATTCATTATGAATGGGCAGTGCACCAAAATGGATGTAAAAACATGCATGACCCTTTTTTAAGAATGGAATGCATCACAGCACACTGGTGGATTGGTTGTAAAATGTTTGCTAGGGATCCTGCTGTCAATCTTTTTACATGTTTAAAAAGAAAAAAAAATATTTAGGTATATCAGATGTTTTCTCTGTCTTAGAGGGTAGGTTACTTTTAATAACAATTAGTGGTGCATAGGAAAGATCTATTTCTTCTACTCATTGAATGTTACATGTAGATTAAGTCTTTAATAAATTGATATACTTTAATCTGTCTAATGTCGAAGCAGGTTTTCTGTTGTAGTTTCTCGCAGGTGTTTATCAGGGTCAGCTCATGCAAAAGTGATCATTTAGTTATAGGTGGAGCCTGGTGGACTTGAGTCTGGCTCCTTGCTTTTTTGTCTTTATTTGTCTTGAGTCAGGTTGGATGGGAACCATTAATATTGGTCACAGCACATGTTCACATCAATGAACTCAAGCACAGAGATCTTAGAACATTGGCCACAAGAGAAAAAGAAAGCGGTGGTGGTTTAAAAAATTTTCAGCAACTTTCAATAACTGAAATGTGCATTTTGGGTGGTTTGGACCTAAACTCTGAACCCTGCACCAAAACAAAGGGACTCCTTCAGACTTTTACAACACCACTGACTCTCTGTGGAGTTGTGCTCATCTTATTACATGGGTTACTGCAGGATATATCAAATTTTAGTGCAGGTTTAATGCAGATCAGTTTTGAGCGGTTTTTGGTCCACTTGTGTGGAGACTTCAGAGGCTGTGTAATTGTTCCAGGTTAGGGTCTCACTAATTGCTGAAGCTCTGTTCAAAGTAACAATTGTATACAACATATAAAATCAAACTATTTCCTCTTCTCATGGGCACTCCTAAAAGCAAATAATCCCTTCATTCCATGCAGGTGTGTGTCGGCAGTAAGTGCTGGTTTATTCTGAGTGACATGTCAAATACCTGCTGTTTGTCCTTTATCGGCAG